TTGACGCCGCGGTGCGCCCTGTGGGAGCGCACGCTAAGGCTGCGCGTGGTGGAGGCGAACGCAGGGAAGGGAGCTCAAAGGAACCCCTGGGACGTCACTGGCCTCTGCCTCCGGCCAAGCGAAACATGAATGGAGGGAAATGGGGGGAACTGACATCGCAGGACTTGATTGAACACAGATGATGATGATGATGATGAAGACGACGACGACGACCGTGATTACTCCCATTTCTATCCCCGTGCTAAATGAAGGCGCATATTCCTCCACTTCTCCCTTTTCGCCACTGTCATCCCTTCCTCTGCAAACCCTATTCTCTCCTGTCCGCGCTAGACTGACACTTGGCTCATTTCCATCCATTTAAAACCCGAGACTCCAACGCCATGTGGTGCCCTGATTGCTGGCGCTCGGATTGGCTGGGGCGCAGGGCTTTCATTCCGCGCTCGCCTGACCCCATGGAGGATGCTTTTTTCACAGTTGTGGAGGCTCTCCTCCCCGCTCACTGGCTGCGCCTGGAAGAGTTTTCTGGGCTCTGGATGAAAGGTGTACCTGACCTACGCGGGTAGGGCCCCCAGAAGTCGTGGATATCTTCATAATTAATGGTGTTTCAAGAAATTTGGACGCGTACCGCGCTGGTACTGAAATGACAGACGCTTTAGGGAAAGAGCAAGGCTCTGGCCTTGACTAGAGGAAGAGAAGGCTGGCAGAGGGCTCCAGCCTAACCACACCCACTCGACCCCAGCTGAGAGGATTTAATTTGCCCCCTACCTAATCCGTTGGATGTGCAATGAAAATGGAAGCAAAACTTTATTTTTTTAACTTAGACAGATTTTAGACTCAGAAAAAGGTTATTTACTTCTCTTTGTTCTTTGGCATCCAAATGCTGCGACAAATGCCCCAAGGGTCGAGTATCTGGGGCTGGGCATGTTGTTTCACTCAGTCCCTTGTGTAGCAATGGACACCGCAGGGGGAGAAAGCAAACCTGAATCAACAGAAGAGAAGCAGAACACGTGCATGCATTCAGTTAAATGTTAGGTCATAAGAAGTTACTAAAAAGGACAGCATATGCATTTACAATTATGAAATATTTTCTGTACAACGGTCGATCTTTATAAAGAAATAGACAAGAAATCTACAAGTGTTGAATTTTGTGTCTTAATTTAAAAAGTACTTTTAAGTGCTTACCTCATCCTCATCACTCTTTTAAATAGGTGCTATTATCATTCCCATTTTACTGATGGGGAAACAGGGCTCAAAAGGGTCTTGTTAGTTCACTGTGGTTACTCAGTGGTAACTGTGGTTACCTACCGGGTAAGTGGCAGAGGCAGGGTTCAAATCCCAGGTACTCTGATTTCAAAAGTCTATGTAGTTAACCACTGTACCTCATATTGACAAGTAAATCATAAATAAGTCTTTTTGCATCCAAAGCTTCACAATCATTCTTCCTTTAAAATAATGTTTAACTCTTTTCAGATATTTCGTTAGTTTTTATTTCAGTGAATATTCATTTATATAATGTATTCGTATACATGCGGTAACCCTTAAGGCACTTTACTATTGTAAACGCCAGTGGTCCTCCAGTTAGACAATAATTTCACAATACAATGGACATTTTCTTTTACTACAGACAGTTGTAGTTTTAATTGAAAAAAAATTTTTTTTTCCCTTAGTATTGCTCAAACCCCTATGGCTCTTGATGCAAGGACGCCCTCTACAGGTTGTTCTAATCAAATCCTAATAGAGAAGCATCCTTCATAAAATTCATTTTGTGGTAGAGAAAAAGAGGGACCAAATTCCCACCCAATTCAGCTTCCTCTGAGTGAGGTTCTTCCTCAAGAACTGATTGGGGTGTTGGTAATACTGGTAATAGACCGTGCTGTAAGGAATGTTCTCCTTCCGTAACATTTGGTCTCTGTTCAGTTCTCCCCAGCAGTGGACCCTTAGAAAAATTATATTTTATGACAGAGAAAAATGTTATTTTAAAAATACTGGACTTGAGCTCTTCTTTTTTTTTAAAGGGGAGGAAGAAACATATGTTATACACCAATCAGCTGTTTTCAAGAGTCACAGAGTGTACTTTTCAGGGGGAGGGTCCGTCTACGAGTTGAATCAGGCTGGATTCTCCTTTCTGTTGTTAAAGAGCAAGGAGGCTTTCTCATTTAGGAAAAAAAGTCACGTTTTTAAATTTCTCTATGCAAAAACATAACAATATTTATTTGCACGTGATAAAAATTTGGAAATAATGTCCTAGGAGGTATTACACGTCAACTTCATTTCATTTTAAAATTCTACCATTTATTTTCCAGTCCATTATCCTTCCTTTCATTGTGTAATTCATTCTCACCAACTACATTTGCAGGCAGCACTGGTATGGAAAGGGAGCCACAAGACACAAGATAGTAAATGAAAAGAGCAAGTTGCCAAGCATAATTATAATTCAGTCCTGTTTTTCAAAAACAAAGATGGTATCTACCTACCTATCTACCTATCTAGTTAATATGTATATAAAACCATGTATAGAAAATGTCTAAAAGGTTCCATCCCAAAATATTTCCAGGTGTTATCTACGAAGAGTGAGACTGGGACTAGGGAATGACTTTCACTTCAGGCACAAATGTTTTCTGATTTTTTTTAAAGGGGCAGATGCTCTTGTAATTAAAAACCATTTTTCAAGAAGAAAGGTTGTTTCTCTCCTGCTTCAGTCAGTTTCTCCCAAAGTAGGCAGCTGTCACCACCCTGGGCCAGCACTTCTTGCTATTCTGCTTGCATGCTTTGTCACTTCAGAACTGTACATCACAACACATGACAGCTCATTACTGAAGCACAGCACAGCTTGAATGCTGCTCATCATTGCGCGGAACACTCTTGCTCTTCTTCCCTTACGTGATGGCATTGCCAAGCAACCTAGCGTATCTTGTCTTGCACAAGTCACACCCCTTATTTTCTGTTCATCCATGCTGTTTCATCACTATGACATTTAACAGAGCTATTATTCTTTTATGATGGGGAAAAAAAGGGAAAACGATTTTATTGCCCAATATTAGAGAGATGGAAAACAAATTAGAATACCTTCATAAGACTAAATATTATTGAACTATTAAAACTGATATTCTGACCTATGTATTCAACCATGAAACTATGATCACAATCAAGATAATGTCCATTATCCATCACTCCCAAAGTTTAACAAATTATACACTTTAAATATGTGCAGTTTATCATATGGCACCTGTATTTATTAAGTACATTTGAAATTTTTTAAAAAACAAAAAATATTGCTGTTTCATCAGGACACAAAAAACACTAACCATAAAAGAAAAAACTGGTAAATTGTGTGATATTACAATTAAGAATTTCTTTTTATTAAAAGATAGCATTGAGAGTGAAAAGACAAGCCAGAGAGTGGGAGAAGACAACATGGATATAGAGGACTCTGATCCAGAATATATAAAGAATTTCTACAAATTCATAAGGAAAGGACAAACAAGCCAGTAGTAAAATGGGCAAACGGCTTGAACAAGCACCTCACAAAAGAGCATACCTACATGGCCAGTTAACACCTGCTCACCTTCATTAGCCATCAGAGAATGAAAACCACAGTGGGAAGCCAATACACCACCATCAGAATAGTTAAAATGAACAAAGAAAGAATATATAAAGTTGGTGAAGATGTGAAGCATATACTGCTGGTGAAAGTGTAAACTGGTACAGTCGTTTTGGAAAACCCTTTGGCAATAATTAGTAAAGCTTGACTCAGCGGTTCCACTCCTAGAGATGTGCCCAACAAAAAAATGTGCACATATTCATCCAAAGACATACACTATTTACCTTGGTCCCCAAATGGGAGCAATTCAAATATCAACAGTGGGATGAATTAATAAGTTACTATTGTTGCTACAATGGAATACTACACAGCAGTGAGAATATGCAAACTACAATTACACACGACGTGGATGATTTGCATAGACATCATGTTGAGCTAAATAAACTCAAAGGTACAAACTGCATGATTCCATGTACTAAAAATCCCAAAACAGGAAGAACTAATCTATGATATTTGAAGTCAAGGTAGTGAGGGGTTACCCTGTGGGAGTGACAATGATTGGAAGAGGTTCTGGTAATGTTTCGATCCTTGATCTGGATGTCAGCTACATGGGAATGTTTATTTTGTGAAAATTCATCAACTTGAACACATGATTTGTGCACTTTTCTAATGTATATTTCAATAAGACATGTACTAAAATTATTATATTGTTTAAAAAACAAAATCATAAAAGATCTAGTAGAACACATGGGTGAATGTATTTACAAGCTTAGAATGGGGGCAACCTTTCTAAGCAAGATACTTGGAAGCTATAAAAGAAAAGGTAAATTTGGTGTGAAAAAATGTTTTAAGTAGCTATGCAGCAATTAAAATAAAAATAGCTACACCATAAACACAATACCGGAGGGAATACCTGTAAACATATGACAGACAGAGGGATAATTTTCTTAATTTCCAAAATGCTTATATTTATCATATCATCTAGTAGAAAAGGAATATAGATTTTTGTTTCATGGAAATAGAAATATAAAAAGCTAAAAGGCGCTTAACTTGATTCATAATGGAAGAAGTACAAACAAAACAATGAGATATTGTTTTGTTTAAGTGATTGTCCAAAATATAAAATATTGATAAATAAAAAATTAAATAAATTAAAAATTAGATAAATTAAAAAATAACTAAATATAAAGTATTGTCAAAGATGTAGAAGAAAAGATACTCATATTATTGATGAATATCTAAATTGACATCTATTTGGGAAAATAATTTCTGATTTTCCAAAATCCATCAAAAATTCAAAATGCTGATATTCTTTGATGCAGTAATTCATTCACTCAGGAATGTATTCTAAGAATATATGTGAAAAAAAACCACCAAAATACATTTACAAAGATATTCTCTGTAGTATTGTTTGTAATGGTAAAGACAAAGAC